CACGCCCTACCCCCACCCTAAATATAATCCGCTCTGCAACCCTCATTCCATACTCCTATGATAAACATAATGCCCTAAAATATAATACTTTTAAACTATTCTCTGCCTCTCAAGAGTAGGGAGAAGCCCAGAAATCAGAAAACTGTCATCCTAGGAAGTGGAGAGAGGGAGAGGCAGACCAAGAAAGAGCCAAGGCTTATCTGCAGGTATATTCAGCCAGGTAGACCTACCCACCTGAATCTCCCAGGCAAGAAGTTAAGAACCACTTTGAAAATAAATTACTGTTATTTGTGGGTTTTTTTGTTTTGTTTTGTTTTGTTTTGTTTTAATAAATTATGGCATTTTTTTCTAGTAAAAGTAAATGGGGACAAGGTGTGAAATGGATACTGGAGAATAGCTTTGGAAATTTTTTTTCTGGCTGTTAAGTTGTTTCTTATGTGTAGTCTAGATTGTTCTTGCTGTGTTTATTTTTCAGAGCGGGTTACCACATCCTCACAAAATTGTCATACTTCACTACAACTTTCCCTGGTTTGGCCTTTTCCACACACAGGAAGTAGGGTAGCAACAGGCTGACTTAGCAAAAGAAGTATTTCTTCCTCTGAGATCAAGGTGATGTTCCTCCCACCCCTTTCCCTCTAATCACATCACTCTCTCCTTCTTAGTTTCCTACTGAGGGATAGAGGCCACTCCACCACTGATTGCTTAATCAATACAGGCACATTTCTGAGCCTCTGTGTCTTAGTTTCCTCATCTGCAAGGCAGAATATCACTAAAATCCTGGGATGCACATTGAGGAATGAGAACCACATGGGACAGCATAAGGCACCCCATAAATATTAATTATTATTGTTATAGCCTCTGCCACTCATAGTCCACGTAGAGATAAGATTCATACATAGAGTCATTGTCTCCTAATCTTCAGAGACATCTCACTTGTTACCCCAATTTCTGAGCATCCCTCTGTATACATACTGCCTTATGTGCCCTTCTTCTGAATCTCTCCATTCTCACTCCCATCCTTGCATGATGTTTTGCTCTTTTACTCATCTCTTCCAAAAACCCTCCTGGCTTACCTCCTCACCATGCTCCCTTCCTTGGAAACACTTCCCCATTTGTCAACTATCATGTCCTTGCAATGCTCTAACCATCATCCCTCCAGTGACCCTGTGTGTATATCTTATTTCTTCATCTGCAACCAGAAGCCCCCAGATGACCGTTGCACAGGTATCTTGCCCCTAAAGCACCTTCTCCTCCACTCTCTGTTTTGACAAAGAAGGAACCAATAAGACCTCTGTTTTGACAAAGAAGGAACCAATAAGACCTGTTGGAAGTGTGTGCACTGTTTTGAGCATGAAGCAAACATCCCACATCACCCTCATTACAATCCACTGGGTAACAAGCATTATTATGTCTATTTTAAAGATGGAAACGGAGACTATGAAAGGTTAACTAAAAAATCCTTCCATGTTCCCACACCACTCATCAATGGGTATCTTTGAGTACCCCAGGGGGACCCGTGCAAGGACAAGCAGACCTCCACAGCTCACCTTGTCGATGAAGGAGGCAAACTTATTGTTCAAGGCCTTGATCTGCTCCCGCTCCTGGGCACGCACTTTCTGGATCTCGGGGTCCAGCTCCACGTTGAGGGGGGCCAGGAGGCTCTTGTTGACTGTGACCTGAGGGATGCCTCCAGGCGGGCACACAGGCACAGAGACGGGCCCCACACTGCCAAACACGCTGCCCACGAAGCCTCCGACCCGGCCACCACAGCCCGCGCCCTGGCCCAGTGTGTAGCCCCCACTCCGGCCACTCATGGAGATCCGCCGGCCATTCCCCAGGCTGAAGAGACTTCTGCTGCCAAAGGCCGCAGAGCCCTTAAGGCCGGTCCTGAAGGAGGCAGAGCTGCTGCTGACCCGACCGGAGATGACTGCAGAGCAGCCACTGAAGCCCAGGCGCTCCCCACCGGGGTGGTAGTTAAACTGGCGGCTCATGGCTGCTGGCTGCTGGGAGGGCGCTGCTGGGTGGTGTAGGGAGGCAAGGGGCGCTTTGCAGAGAAAGAGCTAGACACTCGGCCCCCACTCGGCCCTTAAATAGCCGTAGTGGGTGGCTGGCGCTGGCTGGAGTCAGTCTAATTTGCAGGTCAGACATATCATTTTTAGGCCACTTAGGGCCTCTTAGTTCATTATTTAGGAAATTATTACCCCCTCTCAGAGATAGGTGTCTCTTGAACCCGAAACTGCCAGTGAATCCTCTATAAAATGACCCAGAACCCTGCATTTGTGTTTCTTCTGTCCTCCATTATAATAATTTGGCCCATTTATCTCTGTTGCTGCTCTCCAATTACTAGGGTTATCACTGCTAAGATCTCTGGCAAAAGTTTCCAGTGGGACAGCATGTACACTTAGGGTGGAGAAGGAGACAATGTCCAGGCCAATTGAGTGAGCCCCAGGAGGACATAAACAAGGTGAGGAATGTTCCAGACAGTGACTGGGTGTCTCTGTCCAGCATGCTGACAGCCAAGGGAGGGGACTTGCATCCCACTGGCCCGGCCTCTAGGGAAGGAAGGTCATAAAGGCTTCAGACGTGGTTTGGAAGTTCAATTTTCTTCTCTTAATTATAAAAACTCAAACCCATTGCTGTTAAGTTAGAGTTGACTCACAGCTGACACTCCAATGGGGTTTTGGAGGCTGTACATTACACAGGAGGAGATTGTCTATTATTTTCCCAAGGAACAGCTGGAGCATTCAAACTGCCAGCTTTTTCACAACTCTGTCCATTAGGCCAACAGATGCTTATTAATCTAATCTGACCAGGATACTTACTGCCCTGCCATTGCTGATGTGACATGAGAGGGTGACTTAGAAAGAGGACAAGAAAGTTTGGGAAGGTCTTGTCAGACCTGAAGTCAACAGCTGGATGCTAGAATTTCATTCCATTTGTGTTCAGGGACTTCTTTCTTTGACCCAACCTGATTTCCTCTTCTCCAATTTATGCTGATTTTGAGGCTTCTCTTAGAAATAGCTGCTCCTTTGGAACCCAAGCTGAGTATCTAATGATACTAATTTCTCAGTCTGTCTGCCTGGGTGTATGTCCTATCGCCCCATCAAGTTGACAGATCCCTGGGATTATCCCTTTCCACTCTTATGCCCCCAAGGCTCAGCCCAGGCCGTAGCACAAAGGGCCTTCAGGATGTATATGACTCAGACTGGTGTTTTAAACAAGGCGGTACTCTCAGTTATGTCCTGGAGTCTGGGCTCTAGTGGGGCAATTGGATGACACATCCTCCACAGAGCCAATCACAGGGCATAATAACAGCCAATGTGTTTACTCCACAGGGACAAAGTTGTGGGGGCACTGGTGAGTGGTGGAGATGGCGCCAACCACAGATAAGTAGATATGGGTGTCTGCAGTGTCACAAGTAGAGAGGAAGGTTCACCATCTGTGCTGAGAGACAGGAGCATTATCTAGTTCTTCTGAAAGGGGAGGACAATATCAAAGTGGCTGGGTAACCAACAGGTCCTTGAGGAAGTTCAAGTTTACACTTATCCCTGTTTCATAGATTTCTAGCATGTGCTTTTGCAAAAGCACAAGAAAGATTATTAATTCTGGTTTTTCAGAATAGAAAAAGAAGAAAATAGTTTAATTTGAAATAGAAGAAGTTTGTTTATGAAAGGAGTGGCTTATAAAAACAACTTTAAGAATCACTTTTCCCCGGGATCTTTCTAAGAATACTCTGGTGGCTTGGTAAGGAGTTATGCTGCCAACCCAAAGGCACAAGGTTAAAATCCACAAGCTGCTCCATGAAAGAAAGATGGGTAGTCTCTCCTACAGTTATAAGAATCCAAGACATCTATCACTTTGGGACCAGGTTGTTTCTACGTGGAGTTAAGGAGCAGGTGAGTTGACTTGTTCTTATCTTCCTGTGAAGGGTGGACTGGATGGGTGAGTCAAGAACTCCTCATTTCTCAGGACCTCCTTTCTCACAGATTATGAAGAGACACACATGTTCCAGAGGCCTCAGTGTGTGGGAGACATGACTAGATCAAAAGGTACACCTGCAGTTTGGGAGGAGGGCTTCTCCCTGCATCCATCTCTGATAGTACCTCAGGAGAATCCTTCTGCTATTAGTTCTCAGGTTAAAATAAAAGGTCAAAGCCATTGCCATGGAGTAGTGACCAACTCATAGCTGGCCCCCTAGCAAGTTTCTGAAACTGTGAATCACATGGGAGATTGCTCATCTTTCTCCCGAGCTGCTGGATTCTCAATGCCAGGTGGGTACCACCTTGGGTTTGACATTACAATTCCCCACTGACTACGCCATCAGACTTTCCTCAGGTTAAAGCAACCTGTAAAAACCCATCTGCTGGTGTCAATTCCCTTCTGACTCATCGTGACCTTCCGTTTGGTTTCTAAGTCTTTGCTGGAAGAGACATCTTTCTTCTGCTGAGAAGCTGGTGAATTGGAACTGCTGAACTTTCAGTTATCAATCAAATGCATTACACATCAGGGTTTCTTGTATTGGTGGAAATACCAGAAACACTGACTTTTGAAGTGAGAGCTCAACATAATTAAATGGATGGGATTGGATTGATCTCCTATAGATAAAGCACTCTAAGTGAGGATTTGCAAGGGCATAGCTGGACTAAATCAGGGCTTTTTTGTCCAAATAAGTATGTCTAGAACACTAGTTCTTGGGGAAAAAAAAGAGGGCAGAAGAGAGATCCTAGGCTGAATAAAAGGTTAAGCAAATATCCTATTGAAGACTAAAGTCTTTTAATATCCTTAGTGCTTTCTGCTGCTCCAAAGGTTGATCTTTCAAACTCTGACCTCTCTTTAGCCATATTTCTGATGGGTTCCAGGATTTAAATACATACTTGCAGAAACATTGAACAAAGTTATCCTCACTTCACAAGTAAATTTCCAAAATGAAAACAGCTTGCAATGTCTTCTCCAAACACAAGCTAAACTTGAATGTATTTAATTGTGTTGTGGAGCATGATCTAATTTATGGAAATATATTCAGGGTTATATTGTCTCATCCGGGTAAACAACAACAAACAGTTTTGTATAGGCTCTCAAGAATAGGCTGTTGTTGTTGTTACTGTTAGGGACCATCAAGCTGACCAGCATTCATAACAACCCTTTGAATGGCAGATTCCAGACTTAACCCCATCCTGAGCCATCCTTATGATCTCTTAATTGAGCCCTTTGTTACGGTCACTCTGTCAGTCCAACTAATTGAGGATCGTCCTCTAATACCCTGACTTTTCCCACTCTTTTTCCAAGTTATGGCCCCTCCTGATAACATCCTGGCCCAAAGCATATGAGATGAAGCTTCAGCAACCTCATTGCATGTCCTCCAAGATAGATTTGTTTGGTTTTTTTGGCAGTTCTTGGTATATTTAATATTATTATTCTCCACCACCACAGTTAAAAGGCATCAATATGTCTTCTGTCACCCATATGTATTGTTCAAATTTTAGATGTATATTAAGCAATTGAAAATACCCTAGCTTGGATCAGGTATACCTTAGTCTTTAAGGTTACCCAGTCCAAGGTGGAGGACTATACAGAGAGCAGGTCAGAACCTCTGCATCAAAGACACAAGAAAGCGAAGATAACAGATGTGTGTGTTGCCGCTGTTGTTTGCTATTGAGTCAGGACTGACTCTTAGCTCACCCTCCAGTAGATTCCCACAGGCAGTACATTATTTTCCTGAAGAGCTGTTGGTGGATTTACAATCCCATGTACCTTTGGGATTATAGTGCAGCTTCTTCCCATTAAGCCACCAGAGCGCCCTAAAGACAGCACCCATGGATAATAATTCTTCAACCCACAACTAGAAAGAAAAGGCAATGAAGTACTGCAAATACTGACTGAAGAACAAAGTAAACAGAAGCATTGGATAAGGAAATCCAAAGAACAGAAAAGTGTAAACAGCACAAGATGGCCATTTAAAAAAAATTTTCATTTATCACAATTTTTTATTAAAAATTTATACAAATGTATGTACATTTTAATAGATGTGGGTTTGTTTTGGAGTGCTGAATTTTTATTCTTTATAATAAGATAAGTAATAAATGTACTCTGTGTGTGTGTGTGTGTGTGTGTGTGTGTGTGTGTGTATCTATCTATCTATCCTTTATATATAAAAGTCATTTGGGCCCACAGGTCTAGTGTTATTTTATTTTGGAGGAACATTCTTCTAAGTTACACAGCACTCCTATGTCATTTTGCTGCACTGAGGTAATCTGGGTTTGCTGTGGTGCTGAACCTTGTGCTATAGTGGCTGTCCATGATGAACAATGTTTGGTGTAGCTCCCAGTTTAAGACAGGTTTGGAAGCAGGAGTGGCATCCACACATGCCTCTGAAAACTCTTTGAACTTGGAGAAATAATGATAATTATAGAAAGGCTTTAGGCCTTTTGTTCATAGGGTTGCTATGAGAAAGGCTTTAGGCCTTTTGTTCATAGGGTTGCTATGAGTCATGCTCGACTTGAAAGCAATAAACAACAACTTTTTGTACCACGAAAGATAAGTTCTTAAATGTGGTATGTTGTTGTTGTTGTTGTTTTGTGCTGTCGAGTAGCCTGCGATCCACAGTGATCCTATGTACAGCAGCTCTGTCCTGAGCCAGTCTCACTAGTTCCGACACACCAACCACCATTGTCCCAGTCACTGTATCAATCCATCTCACCCTAGGTTTTCCTGTGCTATCCCTCCACACTTCCAGACATGCTGCTCCTCTCCAAGGACAGGTCTCTCCTAGCCACATGCCCAAAGTATGTGAGATGAAGCTTCAAAATCCTAGCCTCCAAGGAGAAACTTGGTTTCACTCTCTCCAAGACAGACCTATTTGGGTTTTTTTGGCAGTGTATGGTATGTTCAAGACTCTTCTCCAGCACCACAATTTGAAGGCATAGATTTTTCTTCTGTCATCTTTAGTCATTGCCCAGCTCTCTGAAGCATAACAAGTAATTGCGAAGATCATGGCCTGGGTTAGGCACACCCTGGTCTCTAGACTGACATCATTGCTTTTTAGACATGATATGTATTAACGTATTCTCTATCATGTGAAGGACATTGATCTACAGCAATTGAGAGGACAACCAACATCCAGAGAAAACCCAAATGAGGATTGAAAAGAGACCTGAAGGCATTTGAATATCTAGCTTTGATTTTCTCTGAGACCTTCTGCTGCCTACATTCAGGTCATTTGAGATCATCCCACACCTTTCCAAAATGCTGTCCTCTCTCTGAGGCTAGCTGAAGTTGCGCCACTTTGAATAGCTATCTATGAGGTGTGGGAATTGAAAACAGAGTCACGGTATCCACAAAGTGGGAAAAGGTGCAACCTCCCCCATTGCCTCCAGGTGCTCACCTGTCCACCCAGATCAGGGGAGTGATTTCCTTGTGCCCAACTACACATCCGGTTGCTGGCAGTGCTCTCCCTCCCCCTCTCTAGGCCCTGCTTTTTCTCAGGCCAAGTCCACACTATCTTGTATCTGGTGCTGGAAGCTTCCAGAACAGTTCTTCTGGGAGCCCATGAACTATGCCACACCTGGCCTACAGTGAGGCCCCCCCAATTAGTGGGGACACCTCCTCTGACTGGGACCTATCTTCCTTACCGAGTACCCTTATCTAACACACTCCACGGTCACATTGGGAGCAGTGTGCCCTTTGCAGAATGAGCATCCTTGGGCATCTCAGATCTGCAGAGACTTTTTACACTAGAAATCACTCACTAGGTACCCTGCCTGGTTCCATCCCCTAGACTGGCAAAGACACCCTCTCCAGCCAGGTACATTAATGCAGGCTCCTCTGAGGCCAGCAGAAACTCTACCCCAGGCGGGGTGCCCCACCATCTCCTAGACTCATCCTAGACCAGAAACAGTGTTATCTGCCACCTGACTATACCTTGGGATCCTATCACTACTCAGATGAACAGAAACTCAAGCCTGACTGTGTATCCCAACTGTATTTTTCTCTGGATTGGCAGATACACTGTCCCAGGAGAGAGAGCTTGTTTTATATTTCCCAGGCATAGAATGTGTTTGTGTTGTGACATGTGTATGCATGTTTGTTTTATAGTTTGCTCTTATGGATATGGCAATTGTCTGTCAATTTTCTGTACAGTGGAAGCTTGTGTGTTGCTGTGATGCTGGAAGAAACACCATCAGTATTTCAAATACCAACAGGATGGCCCATGGTAGACAGATTTTGACAGAACTTCTAGATAAAGCTAGACTAAAAATCAGGACTGGCCATCCACTTCTGAAATCACAGGCCTTCAAAAACCTTGTGAATAACAGAGGAACTTGAGAACCAGCACGGCTCAAAGGAGAAATAATTCTCACATTGGAGGCCAGACACCACCAGCACTCACCAAACATACTCATTTTCTAGTTGTCTTTGTAGTTCAGTTGGGGTTTAGGGTCATGTGACTAGTGTTGCCCAATGAAATGAATGATTTGGGGGCCATGTGTTCTATGTGATGAAGCTACAAGGCAGACAAAGCCCAGATCCCTAAGACACACACTGAGTGAACCATATAAACAAGTTTCCTCAGCCTGCATTGGACTATGAGTGAGCAACAAGCCTTTGTTCTGTTAAGCCACCGAGATTCCAGGGATTGCCCATTGAATCAGCCATTGTTAACTATGTGAATCCAAGCATGGAAGGTATATGGTAGAAATAGCCTTTAATAATCTTTCCTTTTAATCTCAAATTCATACTAATCAATCTTCTGATCTCCAGTTAATCTTCCTTAATTCTTTTCTCACTTAGGATTCTTAAAAGTCTCATCTATACCTTGTAATAGGAATAACTTATTGATCACTTACTACGCAATTCTTATACATTATTTCATTACATTTCATTCTCACAACTCTATGAGCCTATCTACTGTTATAGCCCTCATCCTTTTGTTACAAATTCAGAAACAGGCTCACAGAATATAAGCAGTTTGCCTAAAGTCACACAGTCAGTGTCAGAGCAGAATTTAAAACCAGGCTGATCTGATACTCCGGTTTCTAGCTCTTCTCACCTACTCTGCTGCCTCACTTTGTATATTTGCTTATCTTCATTTGGGGTCCATAGGGAATTGTGCTGCTAGCCAAAGGTGGTGCCTTTGTGGGAGTGGAATCCATGAGTGACTGTGGGAGAAAGATGGGCAATCTCCTCCCATGTGATTTACAACCTCAGAAAACCATCTGGAGGGTCAACTGTGCATCACTTTCAACTCTGTGACAGTAAGTGAATTACTTACTCTTCAACCCCTCTGTTCTGACCTATATACTGGCTCTTCCACCACAGTCTCCAAAAATCCCTCCTCTGAAACTCTCTCACTAAAGTGGCTAAGCTCTCCTTAATTACCAGGTTCAATGAGTCCCATTTTAGTTCTTGTCCCACTTGGCCTTACCTACTCTGTGACCAATTCTTCTTTCTTGAAACTCCTTTTTTTTAATTGAGATTTTAATGAAAGTTTATAAAGAACTGGGATTTCCAATCATTCACTGTTACACATTTTCAGCCCTGCTCTCCTCCCCTTAGATTACTTTTTTCCTTTGGGAAAAAAAGTTCTTTCATTGTTATACTGTCATCACAGCCCCCTCCCCCAGACCACTTCACTATGCAGCTCTTATTCTGGACTCTTGTCGTGCCAACAATGCCTAACGATATATTCCTTTTCCTTTGCCCTTCTGTTTATTTCACCACAGTCTTTGAAGCTTCTTCCTCTACTTTCTCAGAGATTCCACCTTTCCTGCCTCCTTTTTCACTGCACATCTTCTCCCTACATCCTCTCCTGCACTTAGCTGTTGTGTTGAAGTCATAGTGAGGAATTCTAAATCTATACTTTCAGCCAAGAACCTTCTTCTTTGGTCAGTAAGATCTGACCTGGAATTGCTCTTCCACTAGGGAGGGGCTACTCATGCTCAGAGAAACCAGAGACCTGGGAGTCATTCTAGGGTTATCTTACTCACTTTGTCGCCCCCAAATCCAAACAGTCTTTGCTTCTTACCAGTTCTCCTTTAGCTGTCTCCTGAACTGCCTTTCCTCCCCACCCCTCTGCTGCTGCCCCAATCACACCTTTGTCATACCTCTTCCACTAAGACTCCGAACTTCTCTCTTATCTTCCAACATGGCCCATTCACAAATCCACTTTTCTATTTCCATGAAAGGCATCTGCACAAGACTCATCTTTGATGACATTTTTAACTTGTTTGGAACTACTTCCCAACCTCACCACTCTGTCTATAGGATAGAATCTCAGCTCCTCAGCACTCTTGAAGGAGCCTCTCTGACCAGCCCAGGGCCTGCTTCCCTAGCTTCAGGTGCCATTGCAGCTCCCCTCACCATCTGCTGAGCTTTGTCACATTTCACACCCCAGGTGTAAAGCAACCCATTTTCACCATTCCAGTCCTTTCATTGACATTGTCTATTTCCTCTTCTCACTTTCATAGCAAACTCCTATCCATCCTTTCAAATTCTGCATGTATGCCTCTTTTGTAAGCCTTCCTGACTTAAAAGGGGCAAGTCACAGCAGACAAATGTTGGTTTCTTCTCCTGCTGATAATCTGAATGTTCTTAAAAGCTGCCTACTCTTAAACCATTGGCCTGAGAAGGCATGATTTGGAAGGTACATTGCCGGGAGTAGGGATATAGATGAACCTTATGCATTGCAAATCTCAGAGGAGGTGGTGGTAGAATTTTTCAGTCTGTGCAAATGTTCATCACACCAAATTTTTCTACTCAGATCAACATGTAGTTTGGGGCTTTACAGAAAAGACCAGACTTTGGATGCCCAGGTTCCAAATCATTGGATAATACACACGTAGAATAGATGTGGCCCGAGATTAGCGCCCCCTTAGCAGAGAGAAACATTCTTCGTCTGCATGAATTTTACAAGTTTATTGGTGAGAAATAAGAAGCAGGCAGCTAAGAACTGAACAATGTTAACAATTCATATATTTTAGAACAAAAATGCCTTTGTTTATAGGTCCATTCTCAAGGGGTATTCCTGGCTACCTGGTTTGCAGTGGCCAGGCAAGATATAACCTATAACCAGATATTTCATCTGAGCTGGTGTTTTTTCCAGCAGGAAGTCCAGGCTAGAGACAGTTCTCAAAGGTCTACCAGTCAGTCTAAACCATCATGTGGCTAATAACTTCTCAAACTAAGGCACAGCAAAGGCAGAAGAAGGATCTGGGTTCTCCTTGAAAGAAACACCTCTTGTGAGGGCAATGAAAGTTAGAGAAGGAGGTAAATCTTTTATCTTTGATGGTATTTCCAGAAGGGGAGATTGAGTTCAGGGCTCTTTGTATGGAAGCAGAAAGGTGGGCAAGACAATCCCAGCCCTAGAATCCTGATTCTATGTTGACAAAAGCTGAGAGGTTGAAGAAGAAACAATGTTGATGGCAAAGGAAAGCGAGGAGATAAACTGACAGAGGAATTTCCAGGACAACGAAGTCCAGAGGAAACCCCAGCAGAGATGGACAGCTGGAAAATGTGCTTTCACTCTATCTGATGGTTTTCTTTGTTGGGGAGCTCTGGGCTGATGTCTTTCCCTGAGGGTCCTTGAATTCACTTGCACTTCCCAATCTGGTCCTGGGTTCTCCTCGGGGGCTGCAGTTCCCACTGCCTGTGACACAGCCCCCAGACAGCATACTGTAGCCTCCACCAACAGAGCTAGGTCTGTAGCCATAGGTGCTGGCACCACTGAACCCAAAGCTGGTCCCTGGACCTGTAGTCCCAGCACTAATGACCGCTGTAGAGGATTAAAGGAGAAAAAAATGATCAGTGTGTGTCCCAAGATAGGAGTTGCCCAATCTTCCAGCCCCAATTAACTTAAATGCCATATTCTTAAGCAAACATGTTGTAGCGATCATGAACTTGAATATATTTTCTCCAAAGAGCAGCTGGGACCCCAGCATCAGATAAACCAACAAGTTCCTGCACATAAGTTTCCAGTACATTCTTAATCTTTTCAAAGACTGGACTGACATCAGGGTTGGGGTGAGACTGAGAAAAATTGGATAATTATGTATACTGCATTGAAACAGATGAAGGGGAGAACAGTTTAAAAGCTATATATGGTTGGGTATTATGGTCATGACAAGAGTCCAGAATGAAGGTTGCATAGTGGAGTGTACTTGGGAGGGGGGGGGCGGCTGTATACCAATGAAAGAATTTTTCTTTTACTTTTCAAAGAGAGGATTGAACTGGGGGGGAGGGGTGGGCAGAGAGAAAAGTGCAACAATGAATGAATGGAAATCCAGAATCTCTGTAAACATTCATTAAAATTAATTTTTTAAAGAAAAAGAAAAGAATGTCATGATTTCTTGATGGTTTCTTTCTCAGAGAAAGACCAGGTTGGACTCCACTGTTGGCATTAAAAATTATTATGAGAAGAAAAATAATGATTATGAGTCTCGCTCCACCCCACAGATGATCTTGTCTGCCCAGGCATCTCTCAATGAAGATGTGAAATTCTTCAAGATCACAGTTTTCTTTTATTCAGGAAAGTAGGGCTGACAATGTCATCCTTTCATGAATGACATTTTGAGGGAAGAAGCTAATGTTAAATGTCAGAATGTGATGGAGAGAACAATTTTGCTGGGTCAAAAGCATCTCCAAGCAGGGATACCACAGAGCTTAGCCATAGATGTTATGATATGGCAATGTTGGTCTACCAAGCATAGCCCAGGCTGTTCTGTGGAATTCCCAGTGTTTAAAATGCATTCACATTGAGTTTCTTGGTCTAGAAATATTCCCTAAGAGACGTTAAATACTCACAAATGCTCACAGAGTTGGTGTACTCTCCAGACATCCTGCAGAGAAAAGAGCACAGCAATCCCAAAGTTAACCTCACTGCAGCTTGAATGCTAGCCAATAAATCATGAATTAGACTGGCTCAGGAGATCTCCCAGCTGGCCAGATAACACTTATTTCACTGAAGTATTTCTTACCAAAAGGAACCCTACTGGTACAGTAGCTGCTAACTAAAAGTTTGCAAGTTCAACCCCACTAGTATATCAGAGATGGTGAGGATGAAACAGCACAGGCCCAGGTTCAGATGTGCTGTTCATGGGGTCATTATGAGACATAGTCTACTTGACAGCACATAACAACAATAACAAGTCACTGTGTGGCAGTCCGTTTCTATAAAGATGCTATGGATGCTATAGGGCAGTTCTGCTCTGCCATATAGAGTTACTGAAAGTCCCATATGGACTATAATTAACTTGTCAGTGAGGGATCTGGGTTTGTTCTTTTTGTTTATTTTCTTTTTCTTCTCTCCTCTTCCCTCCCTTCCTATGTAAGAGGTGCATAAGCCTCACAGCCTTAGAGCTCCCACCGCTACCAGAACCACTCCTGTTAGAATGCTTTTAAATTCACTTCTTTATCCTCGTAATATTTCTGCCTGAATAAAGACATGCATGGAAGTGTTAGAATTAGGAGTTGTCACTAATGAACTAAATATACGATTGAAGGATCATCAACGTCTCTGTAGGCCCCTGTTACAAAATGATACTAGGTTAAACAGAATTTATCAAATGTCAGTGCTTTTTGTACCACATCCTCATGTTTGCTATAACTATATACAGCCCATACACATTTAGTTTTTGATCTATCTGTTCTAAAATTTAAATTTAAATCATGGGTGAATGAGAAAACAGTGTTACTTGAAAGAAATTAGGTGGCTGTAAAAGGGGAAACAAAACAAAATTTTAAAACTCTTAAGCTAAATATGATTGTTTGTCCTGAGCTCCTGAAGCTGAGATGAAGCTACTCTCTTTTGATTAAAAAGAGAAAATTGCAATGTCAGAGGGATGTTAGAGGCACGACAGCAATAAGATAAGACCTTTGCTTTGACAGAATCCGAAACTAAGAAAATCACTCTCCTTACTTGCCTGGATGGTGTTTAAGGTTATGTTTGTAGGTGTGCAAAAGAGCTTTTCTATCCCCTCTGGCAGCCTATTCTCACACTCTGAAGAACTGAATCAGAGGATTCCCAGTTTTCTTCCAGTTCTAAGATCTTAAGACACTGCCCACCTGCACTCCTCGCCCTCCAGCAGCTTGCGGTAGGTGGCAATCTCGATGTCCAAGGCCAGCTTCACGCTCATCAGCTCCTGGTACTCACGCAGCAGCCGGGCCAGCTCTTCCTTGCTCTGGTGCAAGGCAGCCTCCAGCTCATCCAGCTTGGCTCGGGCATCCTTCAAGGCACAATCCCCTCGCTGCTCTGCATCAGCAATGGCTGTCTCCAACTTGGAGCACTACGAGCCACAAAACAGCGTATCCTGAGTCCCAAGACACCTCAAGTCTCACTTCAGGTAACCCAGGTCCAGCAGTGTGTTCTTCTTGGATGAACCTCTCTCAGTCCTGCCCCATTCCCGAAAGAACAGACCCACCTATGGACATGGGGTCCTATAATCTGCAACTGTGGGCTTGTCATTTTGAGTCTCATAGCTTCCATTTGTGTCAGGCTTTGCACAAGAGCTAAAGAAGGAGGGGTGGCGGGTGGAGAACAGGGCCTCTATCTGAAGGAGAGATTCTATGTTGGAAGAACAAGAGTAGAAGAAGTGACAGGTAAATGTCCTAGACAGTTTGCTCCCGCCTCGGGAGCCCCAACACCACCTCACCTGCGTCTTGACACTCTCAATCTCTGAGCGCAGTCTTTGGATAAGACGAGTCAGCTCTGAGATCTCATTCTTGGTGTGTTTGAGGTCATCCCCATGTCGTCCAGCGGCCAGCTGGAGCTCCTGGAACTAGAGGAGAGGGGCCAAAACAGCAATATTGAGTCAGTGCCTGGCTGAGCTAAGCCTGGTGTAGAGACTGAGCCTTTTCTTGAGGAATGACGTTGAAAGTGAACCGGGATCTCCTCTCTCACCAAGTGTGAAGAGCCTGCCACTCAACTATTTGCTCAGTGAATTTGTTCACTGGTACAGCTGGTCTCACTAAAGGTTAGATTTTGTCATAAGGATTACTGAAGCGCCATTCAGAGCTTTCCACACTGCAATCCCAATTATTATGACAGTCCTGTGACTATAGTCCTCCAAAGCTCACTATTGTCTTTAAGGTCAAGTTCAAACACTTGAGCATGATATCAAGTCTGGTGTCCACCGACCTTTCCAGTTTCATTTCTCAGCATTACTGTGAATTTCCAGCCTGACTCTCCAATTGTGCCAAACAGTCCCATCTTTCAATAAATGTCTGATAAACTCACATATCTCTGAACCTTTGCATGAGCTTCTTCCTTCAACTAGAAAATTCTTCTCCATCTTCTTTTTCCCCTTTTAACTATCTCTTCCTTTAGCTCAACCTCTGCAGAGTTACCTCCCTCAGGAGGGAACTCCCTGTTGTGTTCCCACAACTGCTAACACATTATTCCATAGGTTATGATATACTGTACCATGATCACACGTTTCTGTATCTTTCCTATAAGACCAAAACCAGACTGTTTTTATTTTTTTACTGTAGTGCCTGGTTGTGCTCAGAAAGGCCTGGCAAATGAATGAATGAAACTGGGAGTTGATGAGCTACCCTTCTCTGTCTTCTGTGGTCTCCCATATTTCCACAGCTCAGCTGGGTTCCAGATTACTAGTAATCTTTCTAGACCAAGAGACGGGTGGAAAGTTTGTAGCATGGAGAGACTGTGTGTGAGACTGATTATACACCAACATTCCTAGACATTAATTTTGGATAGTCTACTAGTTTTCCATTATTTCTGCCTTTGATGTTATACATTAAATCTCTCTCATTGCTGTTGAGTCAGAGCAAAATCCTAGCTGACCCTCCAGTGGGTTTTCAGAGGCTGTAAATCACACAAGAGGAGATTGCCCATCTTTCTCCCACTGAGCTGCTGGTGGATTCAAACTCCCAGATAGGTGTCTCCTTTGGATTGTCAGTATAGCTCTCTACACACTCAGCCACCAGAGCTTTGACATAATCAATGGTGACTGTACATGTAGAGTTCACTAGATGGGCTACATAAGAATCAAATCAATTATTAGTTCACTCAGCATAATGGTTTCCAGTCCCTCCAGGTTAGATAGTAATTTACAAAATCATTGCTCCTATGTGCTGCATAGTATGCCATCGTGTGAACGTACCATAATTTCTCAATTCATTCCATCGTGGTTGAACATTTGGGCTGTTTCCATTTTCTTGCTATAGTAAATAACACTATTTGAAATATTTTAATGATAAAAATACCATTTTGAAACACACTAACCATTGTCAATAAAAGGCAAGGTTAATAAATAATCTGAGCCATCTCAAAAATAAAAAAGGATCAAATTAACAATTATTTGTAAACAGAGATAGAGGGAACAAAAGGAAGAAGCTCAATATCATCAATCAGAATAAGGCCAGGGGCCAACTGTGAACAGACTACCAATTGTTTACCTGCAAGCTCAAAACTGGATGTGAGTGGATTAGATTTGGCCTCAAAGTCAAACATTTTTCTAAGTAGTATCCCAAAGAAAGGCGACCCAACCGAATGTGGAAACTACAGAACAATCTCACTGATTTCACATGCAAGCAAGATTTTACTGAAAATTATCCAAAAA